GATGTCAATAGGCCAAGATGGGAAAGATTCTTTGATAGATGTGTAAAAGAATTGAGTGATATAGTAAATAGGGAAAGTATTAATAGGGAAGAAACAGTACAAAAAATTGAGAAGTTTATTGATAAAGTTAATGAAATCTGTTGGGATTGTATTCCCCTTAAAAGGCAAAATAAACATGTAGTTCCCTGGTGGAATAGTGAGTTATACTATATCAGGAAACAGAATAATAAATTGAGAAGAAGGTTCCAGCATTGTAATAACCCAAGTGAAAGAGGAAGAAGGAGGGATGCTTTCTTAAGGTTCGAAAAATTTTATAAAAACAAGATTAAGGAATATAAGGTAAATTCTTGGAGACGGTTTTGTGAAGAAAACTCTGGTAATCCCTGGAACTTTGTGTTTAAGTTAAGCACTGGTAAATTAAAAACAAGGGTGATAACATCGACTATTAAGACACAAAATGGAGATACCTTGACTTTGGAGGATTCTGTTTCCTTCCTCCTAGAAATGTTTTTTCCAAGGGATATACATTCAGAAAATAATGAAAATCAAAGTGAGATTAGGAAGAAAGTGGATGAGGAATATGTTGAAAGAGATGACCCACCTTTTACAAAGAATGAAATTCAAGATAGTATTAATAGGATCAAAGCAAATAAGGCTCCAGGGGAAGATGGAATTGTAATACAGATAGTTAAGGCGATTTGGGAAACCAATCCACAGGCACTCATAGAAGTATACAATCAATGCTTGAATTATGGAATATTCCCAAGGAGATGGAAAATGGCTAAAGTTGTGATCATTCCCAAGCCGGGGAAGAGGGATCTTTCAGATCCTAGTAGTTTCCGGCCGATAAGTCTCCTGCCCATTATGGGCAAGGTGCTTGATGATTTGATGATATGGCGTATAAATTGGTATATGGAAGGTGAAGGAAGGATAAGCGAATTACAGTACGGATTTAGAGCTCAGAGGGGCACAGAAGATGCAATCAACAAAGTTATAAAGGATATTAAAAATGTGCTGGAAACAGCTAAGTATGCAGTTGCAATAAGTATGGATATAAGAGGTGCCTTTGACAATGCATGGTGGCATTTTATTTTATGGCAATTAAGAGAGAAAAGGTGCCCGAGGAATCTGTATTTGATGGCGAAAGATTATTTTAAAGATCGTACTGCAACATATCATTTGAATTATACAAAGATTGTAAAAGAATTGGAGAGAGGTTGCCCGCAAGGGCCGAAGTCGGGCCCTAGTTTCTGGGTTATTTACTTTGATGCACTGATTAAGAAGATTCAGGACACTGAAACAAGGTGTACTGCATATGCAGATGATATTATATTAGTTATGGCTGGTTATTCACGTAGACAAATCGAAAAAGAATGTAATAACATTCTAACAGACATTGATAAATGGGGTAAGGAAAACAAATTGGATTTTAATCCTGCAAAAACTAAAGTTATGATTCTGGCAAGGGATTTTACATCGGCTTTCGAGAGAAGGCTTCCAATCATTAAGATGAGAAATGAAAAAATACAGATAGTAAAGAAATTAAATTACTTGGGAGTTGTGATAGACAATAGAATGAGCTGGAATAAACATATTAAAGGACTTAAAACTAAGAGTAATATTATTTTTAGTAAATTGGCACAAGTTGCTAATGGTACTTGGGGCCTTAGGTCTTCGGCCATGGAAATTATTTATGATGGAATGTTTGTTCCAATAATGACATATGCCGCATCGGTTTGGTGTGATAAGGTACATAACTCATTGCAGAATAAGCATTTTAGACAAGCACAGAGAATAGCTTTGCTGAAATTGACGAGATGTTATAGGACGACATCAACAGAGGGGCTAATGGTTTTGGCTGGCAAGGCTCCAATTGAATTAGTTATCGAGGAACGGGCCAAACGTTTTTGGTTGAAGACAAGTAATACAGAGAGGTTATCTTCCTTGAATTTTGAGATAGGCAATTATGAACGAGACATATTAATTACGGAATTGCCTCATCCGGCAATGGAGTTTAGGGTACAAGAGATGGATCAGCAAAGGTGCTATACTGAAATTTATACTGATGGTTCTAAGACCGAAGAAGGGACCGGAGCTGCAATTGTGGTGTACGAAAGAAATGAAGAAATTTATANAAAGTATTTATCTTCATCTCTAGTTTCTTCTAAAAATTAAATATGCATTTACTTTATATTAAAATGGATATCTAAAGATTAAATTAAAAATTTATTTAAGAACAAAATAATAACATACACAAAGAATAACAGAAAATATATCAATTCTAAATTAGATATTAAATATTTAAGATTTTGTCAAGTTATAGAATTTAACATATCTACTATAATTTTCACTTAAACAATCAAATAACTTCTTAAGAAGCCAAATAATATTTATCATTTAATTAATATTCAGAAGATAAATTAATACAAAACAAAAGAAAATATAATAATTTTTAAGTAAATTTTAAATTTCCATAAGTTTAAGATTTACAATCTTAATTTAAAATTTAAGATTTTCAATCTTAAATTTACATAAATTTAAAATTTACTTAAAAGATATTTTTATAATGTTAATGTTTATCTATTGGATGATGATATAATAATATCAAATTATGGATATATTGACAGAAATAGCTAAAACCAGAGAAAATGTAATTGTTTTATAACAAGCTTTAAATATTATATTTTACATATGAGATAAAACAATTTTAAGGTATACTGCATATATACTGTAGTACTTGTATATATGTTACTAGTGCTAAATTGTTTTTTTACAAGTTATTTTCAACAAACCAGTTTTTAAAAAATTTTCTAACTCTCTTCTCTAACTGCATTTACAAACAACCAAACCTTAAAAACCTTTTAATATGCGGTCTTTTTATTAAATCTTCTGATGCTTTTGGCCAGTTGACTGATCTTCAGGAAAGAATCAAAAGATTCTGATTTCTACAGAACAAAACCTATTTTGGAACGTTTTTAAACTATTAAACTTTCTTAATGTCAAGTGCACAAGTCCATTATCAATATGTAAATAAGTAATTAAAATGCAAATTACATACAAACAAATAAATAAACTAAACATAAAAAATAAAAATAAATTAATAAATTAACCTAACTGATAAGATAAAAAGCAACAACTGTGCCTATTTCTTTAACTGTCCATGCCTTTTTTTTTACTGATATATTCATATTACACCTGGTCTCCACGCTGCAGAGACTTTATACGATTCTCTAAAGTTTATTGCTTGTCCTGCTTGTTTGTTCTTATGTATATGTCATGCTTCTGTATATTTAAGGTGTCTCCTGTCCTGAATCTTTCGTATTACTACTNGACTCGTACAACGTGGAATTCATATAAAACGGAATTATCAACAATGTTATAGGGGAGTCGACTGTATTTCTTTTTTTCAATAATATAATAAATCATTTATATATTTCAACTTACAGCTCTATAATTTATTTCTCAACCATAATTTATAACATTTGCGATAAAAATATACTATAATCTGTACAAAATGGAAATCTGCTAAACAGTTTGGTGTGATAAGGTACATAACTCATTGCAGAATAAGCATCTTAGACAAGCACAGAGAATAGCTTTGCTGAGATTGACGAGATGTTATAGGACGACATCAACAGAGGGGCTAATGGTTTTGGCTGGCAAGGCTCCAATTGAATTAGTTATCGAGGAACGGGCCAAACGTTTTTGGTTGAAGACAAGTAATACAGAGAGGTTATCTTCCTTGAATTTTGAGATAGGCAATTATGAACGAGACATATTAATTACGGAATTGCCTCATCCGGCAATGGAGTTTAGGGTACAAGAGATGGATCAGCAAAGGTGCTATACTGAAATTTATACTGATGGTTCTAAGACCGAAGAAGGGACCGGAGCTGCAATTGTGGTGTACAAAAGAAATGAAGAAATTTATAGTCAAAATTATAAACTAGAAGAGTATTGCTCAAATTTTCAGGCTGAGCTTTTGGCAATTACTAAAGCAGTGTATTCAAAACAATAGGAGAGAAAGTGTATGTATCAGTACAGATAGCCTTAGTGCCCTTCAAGCTTTATTAAGTCAGAATTTGAAACAACGACAAGTATATAATATTAAAAAGCTCTTGTATGATAAAAGGATGCTAAAGAGTATTAAGTTTAAATGGGTTCGTGCCCATGTGGGAATCTATGGAAATGAAAGGGCGGATAGATTGGCAAAGGAGGCGATAAGTAATACACAGGTTATATTCGATATAAGACCAAAGTGCTGGGCAAAGATATTTTTGAGAAATGAAACTATAAGAATATGGCAAGATAATTGGACAACCAGTGATAAAGGAAGGCAAACTTTTGGCTATTTGCCTAATATTGAAGAACGGTTAAAGCAAATGAAATGGCTGAGTCATGATAGAGTGGTACTGATTTTCCTCTCCGGGCACGATGGTCTGGGAGAGTTTAAAAGGCGTTTTAACCTTGATGTTAGATATGGTTGTATTTGTGGTGAAGCTATAGAGGATTTGCAACACATCATTTATGAATGTATACAATGGCAATATCAGAGACATTTATTGAAATCGGTTGCGTTGGCTGAGGGGCTAGGTTGGCCCTGTAGTATTTATAACCTGATTCGGAATGATACGACATACAAAGAAATTCAGTTTTTCTTTAGGAAGGTTCATAAGAGCAAGAGCGCTCAATTGTAATTTGATCCTGGGCGAGTTGCCCAGTAGTATGTTAATTGTTTCTTTTATTTATTTTATTTGTTATGTTAAATTACTGTATTAAAGATTGTAACAAACAAAGAAATTAACAAACCCCGTTGTGCAATAGTGGTGCGGGGTGTTCTGATCCCTGTAAAGGGAAGTGATGATCCCCAATGAAAAAAAAAAAAAAATTAATTAATAGGTATGGCTGAGGTAAAGAAAAACAATAAATTTTAAATTTAATAAATTCAGTAATAGATTAATTATATATCAGTTCAAAAGATAAAATCTATTTTTACTCACCTTTTGAGAGAAAAGGATTAGTAACATTTTGATTTAACAAAAATCTGTTTTTACATGAACTTGAAAAATATGTATTAAGTTTTCTTTTTCCAGTTTCTGTAAATTCATAAGATTGAGGCCTAGAAAAATTAATTAACTAAATTATTTATAATTAATAGTAATTTTAAAAGCTATTAAAAGATTTAATGCTAATTGCAATAAATAATTTGATATCACAGTAATAAACTTTATATGATTAAAAACTACATAGAATAAAAACTCAAATGACAATCTATACATATCAATCAAAAATATTTGACCTTAATCTTTCTAAATAGTAAATTTTAGATAAAGAATGTAGACCTGCTTTTCAATTCAAATTACTAATAATTTACAGAAATATCTTACTTAGTGTGGATTATCTTTAGTATGAGACTCTTATTATTTAGTTGGTATGAGTCAAAGAATTCAATTAATATAGAATGATTCACTATAATGTGACCACTGCTAACTTAATATATATATTATAAGCAGGGCTGTGGAGTCGGAGTCATGGAGTTTTGGTGTTTTAGCCGGAGTCAGAGTCATCAAAAAAGTCCGCCAACTCAGACTCCTTTTTAATTACCAACTTGTTAAGTATATAAAACGGAAAAATATTGGAATCATGTCAAATTTGACCCTCCAAGTTTTTTTTTTCAAATCTACATGTTTGGAGACCTCCCAAACCCCTCAAAAAAGTCAATAAAAGGGGAAAAATTCTCACACGTGTGTGTGTGTTAACATCTAATTTGTTTAATTTCTTTATTTTCCATTCTGAGATATTAAACAATATCTCAGAACAAAAAATTACCCATTCTGAGATATTAAACAATATCTCAGAATGGGTAAAGTTTAAAAACAAAATGTGGCACTGTAGCTTGAGTATAAAGGGGCATTAATACTATTAAATTTTGGTCCTTAATTAAAGGTCAACAGGGTGAAGATATAAAAGTAGTCATGTGTCATATCTCTTAATGAATATTTTACTTGTTATTAGCATTCAAAATTTAAAAAAATAAAATAAAATGTGTCACTACCCTCAAAGTAAGTTTTTTTGCCATTTTATAATAGTACAGTAAAACCCGTTAAGATGTTCTCGTCTAAGATGTTACAATGTAAATGGAGACATGATTTAGTTCAACCACTTTGACGCTTAATAACTAACTCCTGTGTTAAACCATATGACTCCGATTCTGACCACTCTGACCACAAAAATTATTAGGCTTCAAACAGAATGAACAAAATCATGCCCCCCCACAGTCTAACATCTGCACATAGAAAAACGTTGGAGGCTATTGAGATTTATATAGAAACCATGAAGGGAAACTGCATCAACTCCGATTATATTCCGATTCCACAATCGTGGAAATATTATTTACATTGCCACAAAGCACAACAATAATCGGAAGTGTAATTATTTTTAATCTTTCTGCTTTGTATAAGAAAACAGCATTTACATCACGCTAATTTTCACAACTCTATAATAATAATTAATGTATAGCATTATTGTAAAACAAATCGTTTACATTGCGCTAATTTTCACAACTCTACAATAATAATTTATGTATAGCGTTATTTTAAAATAATAATTTTTTTGTGTTGTAAACGTAACGATTTTTATATCGTATGCATCGTTTAAATATTTAAAAGTTTGGAACACAGCTGTATTCGATTATTAGAATCCTTCAAAAGATAGAACTGATTTTTAATGTTTCATCCTGAGGAGGACCTCTGAAAGACAGCCGAAAACGTTAGATTATTAAAACCTTTTGACTGCTGAAAGTAGTATTGAGGTGTTAATTGTTGTTTGTAGTATATTGTTCCAGTTTACGTGTGATAGTTTTTTGTCTGATATAGAAAAACCTCAAATATTTTGCATATCTCGAAATTTCAAGGTATCCTGCATCCAAAAAAATTTGGGAGGGGTCATTTTTTGACCCAGCGCTACACTTTCCCTCTGTTATATATAACAGCCGGAAAAGTAAAAATTATCGAATACATATTTATATATTACTTAGAGGAGTCTTTTAGCTTTGGAATAAAAAGTTTTTACGTTCTATCTTTATTAGAACTCTATTTATTGAAT